TGATGCTCCACATTCGTCATTTTAGGGAAGAAAGGGATTCTGGGAAGAGTTGTCAGAAAATACAACTTTATTCTTGTTATTTTAGGACTTTATTATCTTAGTATTACGACTTTATTCTCGTAATTTTATGACTTCTCGTTGCTAGAATCAATGCAGACGCTTTTGATGTTAGCAAAAGAAACGCACCTCTTATGTGCCTTTTTGTTTATATAATGATAGAAATCTTTATACATATATAAATGAGAAATATTTGTCTCCTGGGGGCGCTAAGCGCCACATTTGCACTGATTCACCTTTAGTGTTTCCGTTAGTAACCGTGTTGTGGATCCATTTTTAGCGCCTGCTAGCTTGTGGTTCCAGCTGAAAAGTCAGAGAACCGTTGGTCGCCGATAGGGGTGGGTATTGCCAAAGAAGTCACGATTCGATTCGAATCACGATTCATCACGATCCTTGAATTATTGCGACGCATTGCAATATTTTCTCCTCCATGTTTTTTTTTTTTTATTGACTCGGCGCAGTACCCCGAGGCCGGAAATGCTTGTGCCACAAGGCAGCGTGCGTCAACACATCCACAGCGACATCTAATGGACTGGAAGTTGTATTACACTTTTTTTTGGCTGATGTTCGCCAACCATTCATGCAATTTTATTTATGAATTTTTTTTTATTAATAATCGATACTTGGCATCAAGAATCGATGCAGTAGATCACAAAAATTAGAATCACGATGCATCATCATGACGATTATTTTGCACACCACTAGTCGCCGATAGGTCAGGGGGCGGAGTCACTATTAACAGTCTTATATTAATAACTATGATCTTCAACCATTAAATCATTTGGTGCTGGTTTCAGTGAGAACTGTTATAAGCTAGCAGTCGGCAGCGTTAGCGCATGTTCGTTTGGCGCTTAAAATCAAACATTTTTATGTTTATCAGCTGTTAAACATCCCATAGAAATGATATAAAGGTGTTTCTCTCTATAGCAGTAATTAAAGATGTTCGTTACACTTTAAACGGGATTTTAATGCTTTTTTTAGCCGATCAGAAAGAAATGCAGCTGCTATCTGCAGAGAGTGAGACGTTAAAGCCAAACATGGAGGGAAAATCTCACCCAGAACTGTCTCTGCTCCTCCAGGTAAACCTGGACGGCCATCAGTACCTGTTCACCGTGGACGTGGATCCCACCCAGATGCCGTGTCTCTGTCTCCGACACGACGTGGACGCCCTGGTCTGGCAGCCGCGTCCTGACCGACCCGAGGACATGTGGGAGCACATCGCCACCTTCAACGCTCTGGGTGAGGCGGGCGGGTCTAGATCCAGGACTGTATTTAGAACCTGATCTGATGGCGTTCAGGGAAGCACCTCTGGCCTGAATTTGTCATTTTCTAAAAAAAACCAACAACCTTCATGAATTAGAGATGAGGAACATGGAGGAACTCTGGTTCTCCCAGAAGATTCACAGGATGTGGAACCTTTGAGGATCTAATGTCAGAACACTAAGATCCCTAACTTCTTATTATGGTTGTTTCCCTACGATTTTCCACCAAAACCATCCTTAAAGTCGTAGGGAAGCGGCTGTTCCAACAGTTATATTTCTGAATTCTCCCAGTGGTGCCCGACTTTAC